CTATCGATCCCTGCTCCAGTCAACCCCCCTCATGCAAGGAATAGGCCAAAGTTGGCGAGTCCTCCTCTGGCAGTTGTTGTTTTATGGCCCGACAAGCCTGTCGGCCCGACCCATTGGATCCAGCGCCACCGACAAGCACGATGAGTTGGAGGAAACGGCGCATAATGCTGATGGGGAGAAGGGACCAGGGAACTTGAGTTTATTTGCGCCCGGTCAAGACTCACCAATGGGGACGCCAAAATCTCAGGCAAGTGTTCATCCGGCGCATCACCCTCGCATGCTACCAGACATTCGTGACTGTCGAGACCGAGACCGTTTGACTGAGCAAGAGGCCTCGGGCTCTTTGACACTATATTTGCCACATTGTCTATGGGCCATCTCCTTTGGATCCTTGTCACGGCTTCACTTCATACAACCAAGACCCAGGACAGCTTGGTAGTGTTGTCACTACGGTCTGATTGAATGCCAAAGCCCCCTGTCTCAATAGTGGTCATGGTGACTTCCAGCCTCCGATCGCGGACTTGGTATATTTTCTGATATTTCGCCAGTCGTGTTATCGGTCTCGTCAAAAGAGATAAGTCAAGTCCATCGCTTGCCCAACTTTCGGTTGAACAGTTATGATATCTCTCCTTCTCTCTAGGTACATTCATTCCTCCATTATCCTCTTCACTATAACAACTTGTAACTTGATTAACTTTACTCAAAGCTGTAAAGGTCAGGATGGTGGAACGGCTAGTTTGGTCGCGATCTCCTATAGTTCATCTTGTTTTCTCAACGTGAGCGTGTTGTCAAGACGACCCAGATGTCCACATCTTGTTCGGAGTCAGTTGCTATGTAGTGTAATTTTAATTTACTGCCTCATATTGCGGATTTTGTACATTCTCAACCGTTTCGCCGGCATTGTCGGTGACTTTGTGTGTGAACCTTGTCAATACTAGCACCAAACGAAAACTCGTCAACGATACAAATGAAGTTCATCTCTTTCGACTGAACAAGGGCTGTATACATCCTATTTCGTTTAAGGTGATGAATGACTCAATAGTTGAATTTTCCCACATTCATTTGAATGGGCCTCACGATTCCATTAGATTTCGCATAATCTTTCTTCAAAAAGTTATTCTCATCCCGACTTGAGTGGACTGCACTTTCGACCTCGTCTGGACTGGTCTCATTAGCACCCTCAGCAGGACTCGAACCCGATGACATTACGTATCTTCAGTTTTTACAAGTAGGCCCTCGAGACACCATTAGATCCTATATAAGAGGTACATTCATCCTATCTCGTTTGAGGTGATGAAATTAATATGTCGAGACTATACGCTGCACTACTACAACCGGATTTGAGTCCCACTGAGGGTGTTGATGGGATCAGCTCAAGCGAGGCCGAAACTACAGTCCACTCCTGCTTGGATGATAATTTCTTTTGGAAATCAAGACTACGTGAAATTCAATGGAAGTAGGAGGCCTACTCATATCGTTAGAAAATTCGACTACCAGTCCTCCACGCCTTATTCGAAGTTTGGTGAATAGGTCTCATATAAAGACCAAGATGGTGGGGCTTCTATTTTTGTGGCGGTAGCCTTTCACCCTATTGAAACGGTGTGGCCTTGCTTTTGTAAGTACCACCTCGATGGACACATCTTGTTTGGACTCATGGTACTTTTCAGTCTCTGATTCTGATCTTGATACATTCTAGGACAGTTCGCTGACTGCATTGTTGACCCCATCAGTGAGCCTTGTAAATCGAAACACCAAAAAGGATGAACCTTTATGCTATTTCTCCTCATGTCCTCTTATTTCCTATCACACCCTTAGCCCCTTCATTTCAATCTACTTCAGAAGTGCTTCCTTCCAAGCGGATTTAGTCAGACCAGTTGGCTTCCTCATCCCGCCAACCTCCACTCCATTGCGCTGAAAATGTTGGTCCAACGTGGCTTGTTCACTCTGTAATCTACTTCGAAAATATGAAGAAAAACTGGGTTTCGAAGACTTTCTTAGTGATTTTGTATGATACGGCTTTTAATTTCCAAGTGAAAGTTGATTAAAGGGAATTGGTGAATTCGTCTTGGGGAAGTAAGGACTACTGGATTGTGCAAAGAAGTCTTTGGTTCATTGTACTGTACTGCGACATACATTGTCAGATTGAGAAACCATACTTGTTTTGTTTATAAGTAGCTTTTTGAGACTATAAGTAGATCATTTATATATTAAATGTATTTACTTTATTTTGTTTAAGGTGATGAGGGGACTAGTAATTGAGTTTTACCACAATGATATGAGTAGGCCTTACGTTTCCATTGGATTTCACACAGCCTTGCTTTCTGGTCTCATCTGCACCCCCAGCGGGACTATGACCCGTCTTATGGTATGTGAACCACTAAGCCACGTTGCCACATTGACTCATATATATGATTTACTGGCAGTCTCGTAAACCTAATTATAAACAAAATATAAGTATAGAAGCAGGTTGACTTCGTTGTCGCAACTTGGTCTTGTCATGGCGACCTAGTAGTACGCACCTAGTCCGAAGTCGTCTGCCATAGTTGTTGTCATGATTCCCAGCATCAGACAGTCGACTTGTTACATGCTCAAACGTTTCGCCGGCATCGTAGTCGGCATCATCATTGAGTTTTGCCATTCTCCGCGATCATACCAGAGGCCACAACAGCTTGGTATTTATATTTTCAAAATATAAGTATGTTGGGGGGACTTTCATTTCGTATGAAAGTACATGAAGAAGAGATTCGTAGGTCGATCTCACCAGAAGACGACGGATGCATCCCGTTGTACTGCAGCCGTTCGGCTTTTATATGACGTTCCAGTTGACGTTGTCCACGAAACATCCACCCTCGTTTCGGGTGAAAACTGGCTGAGCTTTGGTCCATTATATGATGGACATCACCAGAGCTTAGTCATATTCCTGTAAAATTCTCACGTTAACATTGGTAAGAAAACTATCCGGCTCTATCTTAACAATGTTCAAAGAAACCCTCACATTTTATTCTGTTATGCCACCTTTTATGGAGAAATATGACCATTTATCGAGATCCGGCCGCTACAAGATTGTAGTTGATGATGTAGTTGATGATATGTTGGTGAGACATACCGACCTATTCGACGAAAATTGGGAGAACACTAAATACTTGTAAAGTAAGCTGGATCTAACGGTCAAAAGTAGCCGAATACATGGTAGAAACTGAACATGAAATAGAATGGTCTCAAACAAGTAAGTTTGTTGATTATGGTACGTATGCGGTTAAAAAAAGATACGAGAGGCTATCGAAATTAATGCCTTAGGAAATACGTTTAATGTGAGGAACGGTGGTAGAAAGTTGAGTAGGAACTACTTATGCTTGATTGGTAAAATGAAGGAGAGAGAGGGTGTTAAGTCGCCATCCAAAAGAATGCAACCCAAATTGTCTGTCCAACATGTTAGAGTAAAGTCATCAACCAAACCAGACGTGCCAGATTACGCAGCCCCAGTCATGCCTTTCCCTGGGTGGTTAAACGTTAATGACCTTATATTGCGAGGTTAGGACAAGTGGTTTCGTAACTTTACTTACATGCTTACAAACTCATATCTCATTATCTCAACCATACTTACGGACTTACGCAGTCTCTTGCGTCATTAGGCCTTGATGATCAGAGCCTGACATTAGCATTCTGTTAAATCTGATTTAGGACCGGCATTGCGTATAGACGCTAGCACGCACTCACACACTCGAGCAATAGTAGCAGGACCAGTATAAAAGATAATTAGGCAAACCACTCTATATATATCTATCTATCTAGGTTTTTTATTTTCTTTTGCCTATGAGATGGTGAGGGGATAAGAAAGCGAACGTGGAGTTTGAGAAGCTTTAATGATATCTGTTAAAAAGGACACACCATACTACATTTAAATATGAGATGTATTCACCCGATTTAGTTTAAGGTGATGAAGGACTGGTGGAGGAAGAATTTTTCCACAATGATATGAGTTGAGCTGACGTTTCCATTGAATTTCACATAGCCTTGCTTTCCC